CTCCGCCCGCCCGCCCTTGCACCCTCTCGGCCCCCGCTCCCTCTGCCCACCCACCTGCTGTCTCATCCCCCGCTCTGCCCGCCCTCTCATCCACCACTCTGCCCGTCCACTCTCCTGTGTCCCACTCCACCTGCCCACCCTCTCGTTCCCTGCTCTGCCAGCCTGCTCCGCCTGCCCTCTTGTCCACCACTCCCCCTGCCCGCCCTTGTGTCCCCTGCTTCGCCTGCTCACTCCACCCACCTGCCCTCTCGTCCCACACTCCTGCCACCTGGCGGGCTGCCTTCCCCCACCGAGGCCCAGTGGGACTGAGGCCACATGGCCTTTCCGGGCGGTGCCTGGCCAGGAGGAAGTCATCTGCCCAAGGGCAGGGCCCAAGGGAGGGCAGATGGGGGTGCCAGGGAGAGGCTGGAGAGGATCTAGAGGAGAGACCTGTGGGGTGGGGGGGCCCAGCGGGGGGGCACACTCAGCGCTGGCCAGAGCCTGGAGGCAGAGCTGGGACGGGGAGGGCCAGGGCAGTGGCTTCTGGGCCGCCAAGGTGGTTGCTCTCTGGGGGGCTTAGTGCTGCCCCTCCCTGCCTGGTGCCCCTGCGGGCAGCCAAGAGCCCTGAGCCCCTCGTGTCTCCCCTCAGAGAAGCTCAGCGTGGTGCCCAACCAGTTCGTGACGGACAAACAATACCCCATCATCCTGGGCGTGCAGGAAGGGAAACTCTGCCTGTCGTGCAACCCGGCGGCCCAGCCCACGCTGCAGCTGGAGGTGAGCGTCCTCAGCAGGGAGCTACCATGGGCGGCGGGGGGGCAGAATTTGTACCTCCCTCTGGGGACTGGATCCCGACGTGGCCAGAGCCGTGGCCGTGGGCTGCTCCGGTCCTGCTGTTGCAGGCTCCTTGGGGTCAGAGGCTGAGTGGGCTGGACGGGGGCTTGAATCCAGGCCCCCAGAAGGGGCAGGGAAGGGAGTGAGATTCCCCCAGCCAGCCCTCAGTGCCACCCGGACTGCATCCCGCGTGGCTCCGGCAGCGACTGGAAGGGTCTGGATGCTGCTCTTTTAAATTGCAGGGGCCCTTTGTGGCCCCTCTGCCCCGTCGGCGGCCCTGGGTGAGGCCAGAAAGGCTGCAGTTTGCGTGGCTAGAACTTTGTGCTGCTAACCTGGACTCCAGAAGGGGGGAGCTATTGAGGAAACATTTGCAGCGTGAAGTTCGGTTAACGGAGCTGGAAAGGGAAACCGAGGCAGCAGGCGGGCACAAAGCCATGTTACCAGTGGGCTTTGTTGCCGTGGCTGTTTGGGGGAGGGATCGACGATCCCCCACAGACTCCTGCCAGCAGGGAGACTGATGATGTGTTTATAACACCACACTCAGCCAATCAGCAAGCGGTGCCAGTCACCTGTGGCTTTGGTGGCCAATCGCAGGCAGCGAGCCATGCGCAGGTAAGCCCCAATGGGCTGACACGGGTGACCTCACCGCGCCTGAGAGGCGCTAGCCACGGGGGCTGGTGCAGAGCTCCAAAGGGCCATGCGCCCGGGGAAGGTGGTTCCCAGCGTCCCGCAGCAGCTCCCTCCTGTCTCTTCCCCGCGCAGGAGAAGGAAATCATGGCCTTGGTGGAGGACAAGGAGCAAGCCGCCCGCTTCACGTTCCACAACACGCCCACCGGCAGCACCCAGCTGGTTCCTCTGCACCTCCCAGAAGAACAGCGAACCCCTCAGCGTCACCAACCAGCCGGGCGCGGCGCAGATCACCGAGTTCTACTTTCAAAGGCTTCAGACCTAATAGCCACCTGCCGGGGAGATGCCCTGGGAGTGCGCAGGACGAGAAACGGCGCCCAGGGCCCCCTCTTCCCAAACACTGCTGCCTGCTTCTCTTTAGTGCTTGCAATTAAAATCACCTTAACTTTCTGCTGGGAGACTGGTGACTCGAACTTGCGGTGTCATGACATTGCCAGCCCCAAGGGAGCAAATCCAGAGCTGTTGAGAGGGATGGGCTATTCAGCCCGGCTGGGTTACTGTCTTGTTCATTAACCTCCACTTGACACAGACACCCGACGCACAGTTGGGAACAAAGCGCTCACTGTTAAAGATCTAGCAGACGGTCCCAGCCAGACCCCACTGCAAACTCCAGAGCAGAGCTGATTGGGGCAGGTGTTGCACTGGGAGCTTGTGCTCAGCTGAGGATCCCCCCCTTCCCCAGCAAAAAATCTTTTTCAGCTTCCCAGGACCGAGCCTCCCTCCTTGAAGATGGCGGGCGTCCTTTGTTCCCAGATGGATCCGGTTACACTTAAAACACATTGCTTGGTTGTGCCCAGTTTACCAAGCGATCCGGATCTCTCTCCCCATGCCTTGTGCTCTTCATTCAATACCACTCTCCCAAAAACGTCCTGCCTGCCGGGGGGGAAGCACGGGAGTAAATTGCCTGGGGGGTTGTGGAATCTCCATCCCGGGAGACATTTCAGAGCAGGCTGGACAGACGCTGTCAGGGGTGAGCTCGACAGTGCTGGGATGGTCGGGACTGGCCTTGACGACTCCCCAGGGCCGTGCCAGTTCTAGTGTTGGAGGATTCTCTGAATGTTTGGGTCACCTGCAAATCAAATGCTCAGGGATGCGTCTCTGGTTTCCTCCAAGCCTCTGCTACGAATGTTAAATGATTTCTGCCCCCTCCCTCTGGCGTTTTCTGAAATGTGACCCCACCAGCCTTCGGCTGAGAGCCACGTACCGGGCAGGAGCCACGTGCTCCAGTAAAGAGTCGATTTGCCGGTGGCTTGTTACATTCATGACGGACGGGGCCGGACATGCCAGGCATTATCCCCTGAACCCCTAAACCGCCACCTGGATCGTTTAATGCCACGTTCATCGGGGGCCGTGGGCATCTCGCTTCTAGAACCCCGCCCAACGCCTCCCCAGGCAGGCCCTGCTGTGGCCCGCTGGCTGGGAGCGGGCTGCGGGGCTGGATTGCAGGCGCTGGCGGCAGGGGCGGCCCGTCCATAGAGGCGATCTAGGCGGTCGCCTAGGGCACCAAGTTAAATGGGGCGCCAGATGGGGCGCAATGTCACTGAGGGGTTTGGGGGCGGGGGCGCCGATTGCCTGGTTTGCCTCGGGCGCCAGTTGCTGGCAGCTAGTCTAGGGCGGCCCCGGTTGGCGGCTTTGCTCCGGGCTGCTTCAGAAACTCTGCATTCGGGTCCCAGTCTCGGCTTTGGCTTTTCTCACCAGGCGCCGCCGCACAGGCCCTGTGACGAGCGACTTCCTTGGTGGGGTTTCCCCTCCGCTTGGAAATTCGGGCTGCGGGGAGAAAGAGGAAATCCAGGTTTTGT